CACCAACAACATTGATTTCTGGTGAAAAAAATTGGTTGATATTCAGTCTGAATGTCTAAGACCTCTTTTCACCCTCTCTTCAACCACCTAAAATGAGGTTACAAAGTTCTGTCACAGAATAAACTTGTTTAATTATGCTGATAATTTGTTACATTGTATGTTAAAAGAGAGACGGTACTGCTAAGCGTGCAGGTATTTCTCCAAATCCATGTTGTACTTGTGGGTGAAATGTAGTTTACATTATGTAATTTCAACGCATATAATGTTTGATATAAAATGTCATAAATATGGAACCATATTGTCAGTGTTTTGTTGCAAGAAGCTTTCAGGGCATTTTTAATATCAGATCTGTACATTCTATATCATTCTGCCCAGGGGGCCATCGCCTTATAAACACCCCATGCATATATACATACATCTGTCAAGCCACACTAGAATTTTTTTTCCTTTGGACAAAGGGACTAATTTGGAATTTGAGCCCAAAATTGTGAGCTGGTCATCATTTGTAACCTGTGATGTGGCGCTCACAGGTAGATTAGGCATTGCTTTTTCTTTTTTTTTTAATTTTGTATTTATGATTATTGTGTATCTGTCTATTTATTTATTTATTTTAATCTCTTCTTTTAGCTGGTATATTCTTCTATCTATCTATTTATTTTAACTTATTTACTGACGGATCTAAAATTGTTTTCTATTTTGAGTTTTTATGGAAGCACATGCCCCCCTGCTTTCCTCTCTGGTTCATCCCCAACCCACTCCCACGTCCATATCCATCCCAGTCAGAATTTCAAATAGATTTAACAGACCAGCTTCACCATGGACCAATAGCAACCCCAAAAACTTAGTTCACCTCACACCTGCTTCACACTCACCACACTGTGATGACGAGCGCACGTTCAGCACGAACATTAACTTGGCCGTGCTGAATGTGCGCTCTCTTTTAAATAAAACTTTTATCATAAATAACCTGATTTTGGATAACAAGTTGGACAGGATTCTTTTAACAGAGACATGGCTTGGCACTGACGCACCAGTTATTCTCACCGAGGCCTGCCCACCAAATTTTAATTTTTTATTTTCTACTAGGGGGGGTAAAAGAGGAGGCGGAACTGCTTCAGTCACCAGAAATTCACTGCACTGTACTGAAGTTTCTTTTAACAGCTACTCATCATTTGAGTACCATGCCTTTGTTTTTAGCAGTCCTCCTATTCTTTGTATCACAGTGTACAGGCCACCCCACCATTCCACCTCTTTTTATTTTTAGAATTTTAATAACTGGTGATTTTAATTTACATGTTGATAATACCTCGGACACAATGTCCAGAGAATTTTTAAACCTTTTAACCTGCATGGATTTTAAACAGCACGTCACACAGCCGACTCACAACAGAGGACACACCCTGGACCTGGTCATAACCTATGGCCTGTCCACTGGTGTGTCCTCTGTTGTTGACCTGGCTGTGTCTGACCACTACTGTGTGTATTTTAACATCACCAGTTTTAGCCATCAGGAGGCCCCGGTGAGAACGGTGAGGAAACGCTACCTAACTTCTGAAGTGGCTGCAAATTTTATCGAGATTTTACAGAGCACTCCTGCTGAAATTTTACCTGCACCCTGTGATTTTATTGTGGACAATTTTAACAGTAAATTAAAGTCAACACTTGACTCAGTGGCTCCACTTTTAACCAAAATCAGAAAAACAAAACCTACACCCCCGTGGAGAAATGATAACATCAAAAGACTGAAAAGAAAATGCAGGAGTGCAGAGAGGAGGTGGAGAAAAACCAAATTGACAGTTCATTTTGAAATATTACGCAAACAACTCAAAACCTACAATAAAACAGTCAAACAGGCAAGAATATCCCACTTTTCAAAACTCATTTCCGATCATAAAAACAACCCCAAATTTCTTTTCTCCACCTTCGATCTTTTAACCAGCACCAATTTTAATAAACCATCCAACATATCAACAGATGCCCTCTGCGAGGACTTTGCAGACCACTTCAGAAGTAAAATCGATGATATCAGGTCCAGTCTTTTATCCCAACGGAATGTAATTTTTAACACACCTGGATCATTGCTTTTACCTGAGGAAACACTGGAGAGTTTTGTCCTGGTTGATGCAAGGACACTTGGTCGAGTTTTCTCCCAGGTAAACCCAACAACTTGCCTTTTAGATCCGATTCCCACATCACTTTTAAAGACATTTTATGGATTCTTTGAGGAACAGATTTTAAATATAGTGAATTACTCTCTTCAGACGGGTGTCTTCCCCGCTGCCTTCAAAACGGCGGTGGTGAAGCCCCTTCTGAAGAAGAGTAATTTAGATCCCAACATTTTTAATAATTACCGACCTGTATCCAACTTACCGTTTTTAAGTAAGATTTTAGAAAAACTGGTTTTTAACCAAGTAAATGATTTTTTAAAAAGAAACAGTATTTTAGAGAAATATCAATCTGGTTTTAGGATGAACCACAGTACCGAGACAGCCCTTTTAAAGATTTTAAATGATATCAGGTTGAATGTTGATTCACAAAAACTCACAGTCTTGGTACTACTGGATCTAAGCGCCGCCTTTGATACAGTAGATCACCACATTTTATTAAACAGACTCAGAAACCTGGTGGGCCTCTCTGGTACTGTTTTTAACTGGTTCAGCTCTTATCTCACAGATCGTTGTTTCTTTGTAAGTATGGATACATGTTCCTCCAGAATGCATGAAATTAGGTGTGGGGTGCCCCAAGGGTCAATTTTAGGTCCAATTCTTTTTAATCTATACATGCTTCCCCTTGGGGACGTCATCAGGAGGCACGGCATCAGCTTCCACAGTTACGCAGATGACACACAGCTGTACATCGCCGTGTCTCCTGATGACACAGGGCCAATTGATACCCTTTTTAACTGCATTTTAGATATCAAGTCATGGATGGCAGTGAATTTCCTACAGCTCAACCAGGACAAAACAGAGGTTTTAATTATTGGTCCTGAAGGCCAGAGAGAGAAACTTTTACCAAAACTACAAGATTTTAAACCTTCACAATGTGTAAAGAACCTGGGCGTCATTTTTGACTCTGAGCTTAGTTTTATTCCACACATCAAAAATGTAACAAAGACAGGTTTTTATCATCTTAAGAATATAGCCAGAGTCCGCCCGTTTCTCTCTCAGGCTAACACGGAGGTGCTGATGCATGCTTTTATCTCTTGTCGTTTAGATTACTGTAATGCCCTGCTGTCTGGTCTTCCCAAAAAGACCATCTCTAATCTGCAGCTACTCCAAAACTCAGCCGCACGAGTGCTGACGAGGACCAGAGGGCGGGAGCACATTTCACCAGTTTTACAATCGCTGCATTGGCTCCCCGTGTGTTTCAGGATCGATTTTAAGGTTCTTTTATTAGTTTTTAAATGTCTTAACGGTCTTGGGCCATCTTATTTATCTGACCTGCTTTTATCATATCAACCCTCGCGGATCCTGAGGTCCTCCGGCACCGGCCTTTTAATTGTTCCAAAAGTTAGAACAAAAACCCACGGGGAGGCTGCATTCAGCCATTATGGCCCACACTTATGGAACAGCCTGCTGGAGAACATCAGGATTGCAGAGACTGTTGATGTTTTTAAAAGGAGGCTCAAGACTCACCTTTTTAATTTGGCTTTTAACTAATTTCTTTTACTCTTTTAATTCTTCTATTATATGTTCTTTTTACTTTCTAATGCTTTTAAATGATTTATTTTTAAATCTTTATGCATTTTATTATTATTAAGTTTCTAAATCTTCATTTATTTATTTATTATTCTTAATATTATTTTAATCTTTAAATCTTTAATTCTTTCTAAATCCTTACACTTTTATGCATTTTATCATTATTTTATCTCATACTTGTTTTATCTTATCATATTGCCTTTTAGTCTTTTAGTTTTTAGCTCCAGTGTTTCCTCATGGGGGGCCTCCACACTGAGAGGTGTGCCCGGTCTGCCCACGGGGACGTCGTCTTGGAGATCCCTCAGGCCCAGAGTATTGGGGGGCTCTGCACCATGTGTGGAGCCTAACTCGGTTTGTCTGGGTCGGAGTGGTCTCTGTGGCGGCGTTACCTGTGGCCGTAGGCTCTGTGTGTGTGTGTGTGTGTGTGTGTGTGTGTGTGTGTGTGTGTTTGTGTGTGTGTGTGTGTGTGTTTATGTGGGGGGGGGGGAGGGGCGGGTTTTCAATATGTATGTAGTATTTTTGTTTGTTTTTTATTCTGTGAAGCACTTTGTGCTTCATTTTTAATGTATGAAAAGTGCTATACAAATAAAGTTTGATTTGATTTAATTTGATTTGATTTATCCTGCCTCTGGTGTTTCCCCACTCATGATAGCGTTTCCTCAGTTCCTCTTTTTTTTTTTTTTTTAAATGAGTGCTATTATAATTTTAGCCCTTACAATTACAGCCTCTCTGAATTTATGTGTGTGTGTGTATGTGTGTGTGTGTTTTTATTGTGTGAAGCACTTTGTGTTGCAACATTTCTGTATGAAAAGTGCTATGTAAATAAAGTTTGATTGATTGATTGATTGATTGATTGATTGATTGATTGATTGCTCCATTTTAAGAGGGCACATGCCATAAAGGTTGGGGACCACTTCAGGAGATGATGTCTACATGGCCGCTGCTTTCCTTTAGACTTTCTTTAGGGAAAAGACCACGGTTTGGGTTTGTTAATAAAGAGTACCTGACAGGCTGTACCCCGGGCAGCAAAATCCCATTGGAGCATGAGTTAGTTGCTGTTTCTTCTGCCTGTTGATACTGCGCTAAAAAAGCGCAGACATATTGTAGCGAGAAAACATGTGTAGTATTTAAGAATACCACATTCAGCTGCATATTGTCAGCGTAGCGTTGAACGTAAATTTTGTATCAAAAGTTAAAAAAGAAAATAGAAAGAATCTCGTTTGATATAAAGAGCTCTCCTTCACGTGACTCTTCACGCATGCGCACTCACACGGTTGTAACTCGAAATATTCAATAATCTGGGAAGCAGTTTCTGCTGGACATATCTCAGCGAAACGAGACGAGACTCCGGAGTGCTGTTTTCTACAACAGGGGGTGTCTCTCTCAGCAGGATCCGGTGACAGCTTGACTGACAAGCAGCCATGAGCTTCTTTGGTTTTGGTCAAAGTGCGGACATCGATATAGTTCTGAATGACGCCGAAACGAGAAAGAAAGCTGAGCATAAAAGCGAAGACGGCAGGAAGGACAAATATTTTCTTTTCTACGACGGGGAAACGGTATCGGGGAAAGTCAACGTTACGCTCAAGTACCCGGGAAAGAGGCTGGAGCACAACGGCATCAAGATTGAGTTTATCGGCCAGATAGGTGAGCGGCTGGCGGCCTGCGTTTCACACACAGCCCGCTGACAGAAGTAGCCAAAGTGTCGGAGGAGATGTTGTGGAGCTAACGTTAGCTACAGATGCTCACTACAATATCGAACACTCACATTGTGTACTTTATTACATGTTTCCTCATAAGTAACGTTTCAGCAACTTAGACATGACGCTGGCCCACTGTCGTAACAAGTGTCAGTTTGAAGTGTCAGGTCCCGTGACAGATGTGGGCGCAAGCTAACGTCAGCTGACACAGCAGCCATTGGCTAGCTGTCTCATTGACCTTTGACCCTTGTTTTGAAAACGTCAAGTTGTGAAAGTGTGACGGACAGCAGTCCTGTGCTAACGTTGCATATAATGCAGTTAGTAGCAGATTGCAAGTAAATGCTGCTGCTGTGCTATTAGAGAGCGTTCATTTATCAGGGGGAGGAGGTGGAGCAAAAAGGGGGAGACGTCAAATATTTTTTTAAGCACTTGGGTGGGACTTATGTTTTTATTTTGGCTTAGAGGATGGGTATACAAATTTAAATGGTTGTGTTTTGTATTCATTTGACCGCATTTTTAAATGTTTCCTTCAAAGATTGCCAAAATTACACAATTTATCACAGCCAGAAACTGTAAAAACAGAAATTATTGTTGGATTTTCCCATTTCTGGTGGCCCTTGGACACATCAGGTGTGAAGAAGACTTCTGTCCAAAAAAAACCTCATTATCAACTTTGATCTTAAAATAGTAATATTTCATCAAAATCACTTCATTTTAGTCTAATTTAGAATTTGGCCAGAAATAACCAGTTTGCACCAGCTAACCAGCATGCACAACAACAGTGCAAAACCGAAGCTTTTTTTAACTACAGGATTCATTTTTCCTGGTCTTTTAGCTTTTAACTTCTTTCAGAAATCAAAGATTAAGTTTTAAAAATTGGAGTAACTAATTTATGGTGGAGGGATGTTCATGCATTTTCTACCAGGGAGGCTCAAAGAAAAATATTTGCAGCTTTGGGGAGAGTTCAAAAAACAACAAACAAAACAAAGTCACACCCCAGCCAACCCCTCCTCTGATAAGTAAAGAACAGTCCCTTTGTCTTTGTTTTTGTGAGAATCATGCAGCAAAAATTAATTTGGTTTGTATCATCATGTTTAATATTCAAGATCAGTCGTTATCTGAGGTTGAATTCAATAGGGGGGGAATGTAACAAAGTACCTTTATTTAATCGCTGTACCTATTACTTGGTACTTCTATCCTAGGACTATACAGCAAATTCAGGATGTGTCCTTAAAGCATTAGGGCGGCCTTACATGCTGAACTTTTAGTAGTGTTGAAGTAAAGCATTTGAAATCTTCAATTGCACAAAGGTTACACTGTGTAAAACCAGCCTCAGGAAGCATTTGACCATTTGTACATTTTAAAGGTACATACTGTTATATTTGAATTCCTTTTGTGATTTATGAAAAAGTAGTCTGTCTCGTTAGCTGAGTTTGCAGCAACAGTAAGGAGTTCCTCTTACTTTTTCCTTTCTAGACCCTTAGAGCATAAATGCATCTGGACATTTTTCATCACTGCTGTACTCCTCCCTTTTCCCTTTTTCTGTTCACCACCATCTGTCTCCAAATAAAGAAGAAGCAGAAGTACTTTGGATCAGGAGTAGAAGGGCAAAATGGTAGCCTTACAATGGCCTTTTTTAAAAGAAACTGAGGTAATAACAAAGGCACAAATGCCGCCTCACATCAGATTGTTTAGAGCTGCAGCAAATGAACTGTGATGGCCCAGTCAGTAGGTTATTAGACTAGCATGCACTTCAGGTAAAACAGTTTAAAAGGATTTGACTTCAAAAATAGTAAACAGAAATCAGATCAAATCTTGACAGTTTTCAGCCATCAGCATTTAAAGAAATGCTTGTAAAAACTCTTTATTAGGATGTATAAAACTACTCCACTGAAGCTGCCTGTTGCTGTTAATGTGTCTTTTCTAGAGCTGTACTATGACAGAGGAAACCACCATGAGTTTGTGTCCCTTGTGAAAGACCTGGCACGGCCAGGGGAGCTCACACAGTCGCAGACATTTGACTTTGAGTTCACACACGTGGAGAAACCCTACGAGTCTTACACTGGTCAGAATGTCAAATTACGGTAAGCTGTGTTGTGTGCACTGTGCGTGGTGTGCATGAATTATTTGTATCATACATAATAGTTTACTACAACATTCATGTTGACAAGCAAAGGGGTTACCATTAGCTTGAATCTTAATTAAGTCTAACAGAGATAAAGCTCCTGAATTTTTGGTTTGATGTATCCCAACAATCAGCTTATGGCATGTTCCAGGTCACTGACACAGTGGCGTAAGGTGAGGAAACAGCAGCAGATGTTCTTTAACTTGTCCAACACTTCAGATCATGACAATACATACTTGCAGGATTTACCTAATACTTGTCGTCATGGTATCTCTATGCATGTCAACACTCTTTTGTTATTGTTAGCATGTCAACATACAGTACTAGTGGTAAAGTTAGCGTGTAACATGCTAAAATGTAACATTTAGGGACCATACACATGCTGCATTTTTTGCGCCCTCAAATTCATTGTTTTCAATGTAGACGCACACAGCTGATTGTATGTAATGCTCAGCAGTAACCCTGACTAAGTCCAGGTCAGACTGATGAGCTGAGTCTGACATGTCCTCATGTGGCTACTGACAAAACTTTGCTAAATTATCAAGTTTCTCTTTCATTTTTCATCCATCGAGCGACTTCTGTTAGTTGTGTATTGAGGAGCACAAGCTAATAGGGCCACTCACTGGTTATATGGTTACTGTCTTGTACTCGTGTTTTGTAGCCACATTTTGTTTTTTGTTTTTTCATCCAGCTACTTCCTGAGGGCAACTGTAAGCCGGAGACTGAATGACATCAGCAAAGAGCTGGACATTGTGGTGCACACACTCAGCACCTACCCTGAGCTCAACTCCTCCATCAAGATGGAAGTGGGGATCGAGGACTGTCTGCACATAGAGTTTGAGTACAACAAGTCCAAGTAGGCTTTTCTTTGCAAAATAATCCATTAACATTACTCTGAATTTAGGAGTTCTTTCTTTTTGTTAGCACTGTACTTGGTAATGTTACCTTTTTTCTTCAGAACAGAAAGAGAATGGGGAAACAAGTGTTTGGTGTGTAAAGATTTTCCTGTTTGCTTGCAGGTATCACCTCAAAGATGTGATTGTAGGGAAGATTTACTTTCTGCTGGTGAGGATCAAGATAAAACATATGGAGATTGACATCATTAAGCGAGAGACGACCGGCACAGGGCCTAACGTCTACCACGAGAACGACACCATAGCAAAATATGAAATCATGGATGGTGCACCAGTCAGAGGTAATGATGAGGCTTTTTACTGTCTTCAGTGAGTAATGAACTGTGTTTTTATTGTGAGGTCATTTCTCAGACAGTATATCGGCTTCTGACTTGTTGTGCTGCAGGAGAGTCCATTCCCATCAGGCTGTTCTTAGCAGGCTATGAGATGACGCCCACCATGAGGGATATTAACAAGAAGTTCTCGGTGCGGTACTACCTCAACCTGGTCCTCATTGATGAGGAGGAAAGACGCTATTTCAAACAGCAGGTACACACACTGCACTGTGGCTTCATATGGGCTTGGAAGTTATCTGTGCTTCTTCTGTCACTGGTGTGGAGTTTTATTCTGTGCTTAGTCATAGTGACTGTCAATGCTTTGTCACTCTCTTCTCATTCAACTGAAAACGTAAGGGTGCAACAGACATATCTAAATAGTGAAGGGGCATTCTACTGATTTATACATGAAGTAGGGCTGTATGATTAATCAAAAAAATTGCTATCTCGATTCATACATCTATGCAATTTCTAAATGACAATATTCACTTGCTCCTTCTTCCCTATGCATTCCATTATGCTTCATTTACGTGTTGACTTATTTGCTGAGGAACAATCCCCAAGTGTTTCCTCTATCATTTTGTTACAAGAGGCTTTTGAGTTTATGTCTAGCACTTTGATATACGTTATATGTAAGTCTGGCACCTTGATATGTCATACAGTGCAATAAATGTTTTTGTTAAAAAAAATAAAAATCATGTGAGAAAATCATGATCGAATTCTTAAGGAGAAAAATCGTAATTCACATTTTACCAAGAATTGTGTTGCCCTAACGTGATGTTCAGTTTACTTGTCACAAGGAGAGGAGAAGCAGAGGGAGAAAGCAGTTGTATAAAGTTTCCTGTGGCTCTGGAGGGAGCTCTCCAAAGTTTGGGAAAAAAATTAACCCTGATGACATCAACAAGGTTGCAGCATGGGCTTGAGATTTAAGCCTGCACTCCAAACTGGAGGTGTTGTGTTTGGAAGAAATGACATTTAGAAGCCAGGAAGGATCTAAAAGACACTATTGAGCTGTTTAATAGGAAATGTAGGATCCAGCAGAGACCTAAATCTCTGCCTCTGCTGCTTCAACTCCAGTAGTTCTTTTATTAACCCCCCAATGGACGAAGTCACTGTAGAACCCCTTTAATCTGTTATCTGAATATACTATTTTTAATTAAAATTACTAATATTAATAATATTTTCATCTTTTTGTTGTGATGTATTGATTGCCAGCCCCAGAACAGTTCAAACTAAAGCCACAACAAGTAATTTAAGCCATTAGTCAACTCACAGAAAATTAATTAACAATTATTTGGATCATCAATCATTTCTGAAAATTTTCAAGTACAAATGCTAAACCAGCTCTGATACCAGCTTTCCACATAGGATTTGCTACTTTTTTATGCCTCCTAGCCAGCTACAGCTAGGTTGCCTGTCCATCTGTCAGTACATGTATACATACCCTTTTTGTGAACGCAATATCTTAAGAATCCCTTGAGGATATATACATTTTCTTTTTTTTCTTTTTTTTCTTTTTCAAATTTGGCTCTTACGTCCACTTGGACTCAACGATGAACTGATTAGTATACAAAAAAACATAGAAAAGTCCAAGGCACTCTCTTTAAATCTATAAAATGCCTTTATTCACATGGCATTGTCACAGTGACATTAAAAACCAAACTCCGACGAGTTTCGGCATATAGCCTTCGTCAGGGAGTCAAAAAAAAAAACAAAAAATAAACAACCTGATGAACTGAGAATTTGATGGTCAAAGGTCACTGTGACCTCACACCACACATCATATGTTTATGTTTGGTCATAACTCAAAGATTCCTGCCAGGGGGGAAGATGTGTGTGAAGCATCCATGTTTTAGAATTGGTAGCTTTTTTCTGAGGCATTATTTGCTGTCATGCTTGGGGCGCCTGTCCAAGGCAGCCCCCTCACTCTGACATCTCTCCATTTAATGCATGTATAGGTCCTGTTTGTGCATGTATGTGGCCTGTGTGTATATGACAACAGGTTTAAAAAAAATTGAATTTGCCCTCAGGGATTAATAAACCATTTATTATTATTATTATAATTATTCTTGGACAACACAAGACATCTGGAGATGTCACCTTGGGCTCTGAGATATTGTAATAAGAATTTTTTTTTTCACAATTTTATTACATTTAGTAGACTAAACAAATATTTGAGAAAATAATTAGTAGATTAATCAATAGTGAAAATAATAGTCAGTTCCAGATCCTATTTAGCGAGTTGAGCAGACAGACGTTTGGCGGGATGTATGGTACCTCATTATTAGCCATGTACTGTAGAGGATTTTCTATAGTGCAATCTTACACGAACATGCACTTGCTTAAACAAAACCACAAACCTAGGAATTGTTTTCATTCAGCAGCTCTTGTTGTTCAGACATCAGAAAGTTTGATATTTGTGTGAGAAAACTTGTGCAATCCCCTGTACCCTCTTGTATATCATCAGTCTTGTGTGGTTGCAGGAGATCACCCTGTGGAGGAAAGGTGACATAGTGAGGAAAAGTATGTCTCACCAAGCAGTCATCGCCTCCCAGCGCTTCGAAGGCTCCGCCCATCCAGAAAGGACACAGACCCAGAGCAATGAAGAAGATGACAGCTAAAGCCCAGCATGCACTTCAACCCCCATGTAGTGAGTGTGTGAGCAAACACAGTGCAGAAAATGTCAGCAAATTCTGAATGTGAACATTTGTTAGCATCGAGATCATGTGCTGCAGTGTTTTTCAGGGCGTATGCGTGTGTGTGTGTGTGTGTGTGTGTGTGTGTGCGCAACAGAGACTTTGAATTATGACAGTGTGTGTGTGAAGGGAACAAAAGTCAGACTCAGACTCTAGTTGCAAGTAATTCTGTTCTGTTTTAACCACCTTGAAGTACCAGCTGGGTGGAGTTTACCACATTAAGACTTATTAGAGAGTGTCAGCTAATTTCTGTGTCACAAAGAAACTGCATAAAATTGACTTTAAGTGCTTGATTAAATTATTTTGGCATTTATTAGACAGTTCAGTGTGGCAACATCACCCATTAGATGCACTTAAATATCATTTATAAATACTGTTCGACTAATATCTTGAATTTACGTGTGTGTATGAATGTACAATATGAGAGCCACCACAGGTGTATTTCTAACAACCTTTTGTTCAAACTATTTACATGGCTGGAAGATTGCACTGTGCAGATACTATAGTCATACAGTAGGTTTTTTAAAACGTGGGTAAACAGTGGATCTTACAGTACATTTCTGTATGTCTCCTCAAAGAAATGTGTCATTGTGACATGAAATTATTGAAGATGATTTCGCTGCCGGGCCCTCTGCTGAGAAACAGCCCCTCCTTTTGGTTTTAATTCATAAAATTCCTTTTTTTGCCTCTTCTTCATTTAAAAAAATGAGTAATGACTCTAAAAAAAAACAGAATTATAAGACTTAAAAATCCATTTACATATTTGTATAAAATATTTTCATACATTCCAAGGCTCTCATCAGAAATAGGTGTGACTAGAGTATTTATTTTTGAACAAAATTCCATTTTGAACCAGCATTTTACATGTTTGATGCATTGGTTGGTTGCTTGTGGCTCGGTGTCAGGTGTGGCCACTGCTGCTAAAACAAATGTGGCACTTGTGAGCGCTGTGGGATTTTCCTTCCATCATATATGTAACAGTCTCTGATATTTTGAAGCCCTGCTCTCTTATTTGCACTATGATCTCATTCTGCTTTTTTCTGCTCTCAGTGCTGTTTATAAACTGGATTCATGCCAGGGTTCAGGAGTAGAGTGAAAATCAGACTCCACTGTCCCCAGGGATCACTTCAAATCTAATATGGACAGTATTACACCTGTGTTTGGTGACAAAGTTGACATAAACCTTGTTCAGACTGCAGCCCAAATCCGATTTTTTTGCAAATGTGATCAGAATCCGATCTTACTGACTGACCATTCGCATTACATATTGCAAGTGATCAGATCTGATCTGCATGTGGCCATATTGACGTAGTCTTATCCGCATTGATTTCCATGGTAACAGGTTACTCCTAGGAAAAACAAACAATGGCAACAGCAAACTGTACGTGTTTCTGTCCCAAATGGTTAGGTGGGCCTGCGGCGCAAACTAGTGAAGCGATTAGTGGAGTCATCAATGAGTGAAATCAAAACTCCAGTCCAGCTCTCTTTTTTCCATCATAGCATTATAGGCCTACATCATGACAGCAGTTCTGTTGGGTTTTTACTTTTACTACTCAACATTGCAAGGGTTTTTTTTTTTAAAAATCTGTTAAGAAAAGTCATGTTACTATTATGAACTTACCATTCCCAGAAGTATCCAGTCTTTCTTCCTCATCTTCCTGACCGTTGCTTTCCTGAATGTTGCGGTCCTCCTCTGCCGTGCTGTTCAGAAAAAATTTGTCATGAAGAATTTCGTCAAGATACTCGTGTCCTGATATATGGCTTTATTTCTGTATGTACCTCCTAATTTTTCTGAACTGACGAATCTCCCCAGATAGCTATCAGGCACTTTATCTCCTCGTCCGTCCACGGTTTGTTGTTTTCCTCCATGCTTTAAACCCGTGGCTTGACTCTTCCACTTGTAACTCCACAGGCGTCGCTAGGCAATGAGCGTCTCCCCAGATCTGCGTTGTTGTTGTTGTTGTTGTTGTTGTTGTTCGTGTCGCACTGCGAGTGACGCAGAAGACACTTGGAAATCCTATTTGAGTGACCGAGATGTTCAGATTGAAACGGATCTGTAAAAATCCAATCGGAATCGCATTTGAAACTACCTCTGTATGTGGTTTGAATCAGATTTGGAAAAATCGGATCTTACATGTTTTTTGGCTGTCCAGACTGTCAGAAAATCAAGCTAGATACAATCTGGATATGCTAAAAATCTGATTTGGAGTGGTAATCTGAACAAGGCCATAGATGCTTATGAGTCCTGCCTCTTGACAGGCTGCCGGGACTGACTGCCCTGTGTGGTTAGTTAGCTTTGTGCCTAAAGGATTATTGCCAAAATGTTTCGGTGAAATACTCGAGTACAGTTTCCACAGTTTACTGCTGCGCACTTTCTTTCCATTTAGACTGTGCTCATCATTTCATCCACTACAGTCACTTTTCATGAAATAAAAAGTGACTTTAGTGTCAATATGGTTTATATTGAAAACTATGAATGTATAAGAACTGTTATTCTCTCATATTGAGCATTTAAATTAAAATTCAGAACTGAAGAGTCCCAAACTCAGTATATTTTCTAAATAACCATCATCATCTTTTTTGGTTGCCTCCAGTCAAGGGGAGTAGATGATTGAGCTTCTGTGCCATTACTCCTTTTTATTCTGATACTTTTTCTAAAATATATCTTAAAAAGCACACATTAGTGAGTTTAAAGTGTGAAGCACTGAAACTGAACCCCAGCCTGTCGTCCTTCAATTATCCTGGCCTGCAGCTTTTTGCTTGACAAGCTTACGCTGTGCAACTTCACAAAATCTATCACTGTGTATCGTATAAATTTTTTTTTAGATATTTTTATTTTTCATACTTGCAGTAAGGTCCACTTTAGTATGCATTTTTGCTAAAGCAACATGTCCACTGTCACCAGACTTCTGTTCAGGTAACTGCTAAAATATAGAATCTGCCAATCTAACATGTTGATATGAGCCAACAAGACAAGTTTATTGGATTTATGTAGCCTGACTCAAGGTGTGACAGAGTTTTCATTCCTTAGAGATTCTTACTTTGCATGTTATTGATCATAGCAGAAATCACTGTAAGTCACTCCGCAGTTTCTTCTACACCTAATTGGCATTAAGGGCTTGTACCAAAATTATCTGTATGGAGAGGGGCGATGAACCTCAAAAGTCCAGTGTGCAGGAATTAGGGGCATCTATTGGCAGAAATTATACATAATATTCATAACTATGTTGTCGTAAGTGTATAGTCTCCTAAAAATAAGAATCATTGTGTTCGCTACCATAGAGTGAGCTGTTAATACCTACAGATGGAGGGGGTCCTCTTCATGGATGTATTAAGAGACCAGGACACAGCATTGGAAGCCAGACTCTGTTCATTCCTATGAAAGTTGCTCAGTGGCACATGAAGCCACAATTGTTTAACTGTTGCATATAAGTACCTAGATAATCTGCACTGCTTCCACATTATTGGGTCCATCGAGCAGGTGTACTCGAGACTTCCGTCAGCTGAGCCAGCTGCTTCCCCTTTATTGCTGTCCTAACTTGAATTGGGATAAAAATTATTTAATTTTGCGGCTCTTTTAGACTTTCAAAATGTTATCAGAATGAATGGATCAAATCCTGATAGTAAAACGAATCATTTTGCAGGGTTTGTGATGCTCAAAAATTATTATCCAGCGATTTAAATACGTTTCTTTCCCAATCTTAGTCTATGGGAAAAAGCTTTTTTTTTTTGGTCCAATGGCATAATGTGACCGGATCAGAAGTTGTAATTCCACTGTTTAGCCACTACGAAAATTGGCTTCAAAGCCTGGTGCACTTTCTGGGGGCTTGGTTTCTCTGAGACATTGGTTTAGCTGAGACCATATGTAGCAATAATCCACTTTGTAATTCATAATACATGAAGACATGATTCACCTTGTGAGTAACGAGATGTAACCCCTCCCATTACCCTTAACCACCTCTCTTTATCATAATACTTCGTATCTAGCTAATTGGTAACTTTGTAGTTTTGTGGGCCTTCCACCTCCGGGCCAAGGAGCTAAAGGGGCTGATCGTGGACTGATGTATAGGTATGGTTGGTGAGTCATGTAGCTAGACAGTGGCTGCTCCAGCTGCAGTTATAGTGTGCCCCAAAAATGAGTCAAAAAACCTAAATGACTTAGCATTTTACCACTCACAGTTCCCTCATCTCAAAATCGGTGGGTTTTTTTGAATGGGTTTTTGGTTAGATGCCTGAAATAAGGTCTGTGGTTAACACAAGCTTAAGAAACTTGTTTTGTTCTGCTACATAAAATACATCAGTAAACACCCCCACAGTGAATTTTGAAGCTTCTATGTGTCTTAAAAAAGTGTTGTTGTGGGTTTTTTTTTACTTCTGGTGATTCTGGCCATTTAGGTTTCAGTAATCAGTGGTATTAATTTGTTAAGATTATCTTAATGAGCAAAACATGTAAGTATCATAAATGTTTGTTTGCCACAGAGCTTATTTTCCGCAATAATCTAAAATCCAATGATCTTATAAGCTTTTTGACAAAGGAACCACGGCAAAGCTAACTTCCACGTCTGCCTACAGAAAAACAACATGCCTTGAGCACTCTATCCCTATTCAAGTTCTCTTCCACAGAGTCGGCCATGTTGTTCTACAATAGCCCAGGGGTTCGTTTTACAAAGCAGGTTTAGTGAAAACTCTGAGTCTGTTAACCCTGAAATGAGGGAAATTCTGGGTTTTCCATTTCAGAAAGGGAGGTAACTGAAGCTCGGTGTCAGTTACTATGGCAACTGACTCTGTGAACCTAACCTGGTCGGAAACAGGTTTTCTTCAGTGAACCTCGAGTTTCTAGCTGTCTCCTTCTTACGCCACACACGTAGTGTGAGTCATTCATTCATTCGTTCGAGTTTGATCATCTGTCCTCAAGGAAAAGTTGGATCCTAAAGTGTGTTCTAAATATACTTTTTTTGACCATGGCATGTCCGTTCTTGGAGGACCCTGTGGACAAAGAGGCAGTGTTACTGAGGAGGGAGTTACGCATTCGTCGGGAGATTATTCACAGGCCCAGAATTGATGTATTATCATTTCCAGAACGTTTTCTTTTTGAACGGTACCGTTTCACATCACAGTCCATCATTTATATCCATAACCTCATCCGTCGTGACATAACCAACGTCACCAACCGTGGACGTGCACTTTCATCTACCCAGATTCTTTGTGTTGCTCTTCGTTTTTTTTGCAAACAGGAGGTTTCTGTATAATATTGGACATGCTGAAAATATCAGTAATGCCACTGTCTGCAGAGCCGTGAGAAAAGTGTCCCTCTGAAACGTCTATTAAACTCTTTTGTTGTGTTCCCTGGACATGAACCTGTGAGGGTCATCAAGGAGGAGTTCCAAAGGGATTGCAGGTGAATGATGTAGAAATCAGTTAAAATTTATGATTATAAATCATATCCAGTTAATGACATGGTGCTGCAACCTCAGACTGGGATTAGTCATTTTAATTTCTTTTAGGATTTCCCGGTGTGATAGGGTGCATTGATGGAACCCACATTCCCATCATTGCTCCTTCACAAAATGAAAGAGACTATGTGAATATGAAGTCCATTCACAGCATTAATGTGCAGGTAGATTGACTGTCTCAAAATGTCAGACTGCATCACACTGCAAAAACTCAAAATCATACCAAGAATATTTGTCTTATTTCTAGTCAAAATGTCTCATTTCTAGTCAAAACAAATCACACCTAAAAGTAACTTGTTTTTAGACAATTTTCACTTGTTTCAAGCACATTTTCACTTGAAAAATAATCAGAAAAATCTGTCAGTGGAGCAAGTTTGTTATTTCTACTTATTTCCATTGAAAATGTGCTTGAAACAAGTGAAAATTGTCTAAAAACAAGTTACTTTTTAGGTGATGTGTCTTAAGTGTAAAGACATTTGATTTGATTAGAAATGAGAAATGTAGACTAGCAACTAACATCTGTCATTCTCTGCACTGTCAAGATCATATGTGATGCAGCCCACATTATTACTAATGTGGAGGCCAAGTGGCCTGGGTTGGTACATGACTCACGGATGTATAGTGTCTTAAAATCAGCAACATACTGGAACATGGTAAGCAGCACTATTATGCTGAAGTCTTACCTGTTTGAACAATGTTTTTATATTTCATCTTGAGCTGCTTCCATGTTCTTTTTTCGCCGGTGGGATTGCATCTAAGTGAACTAAATTTTAGCTTTAGCATCATTCCACCTGTTTGCATCTGTAGCCTAATATTATTGTGATTGCATAAATGTATAAAATAAATTTAAACTTAACGCATTGACTCGAGCAGTAATTTTCTCCCACGCCGACTCCCGTTCCTTTGCTGCTGCAGCCGTGTTACTCTTCTTCCTGAAAACAGCTTCAAATTCGCTATATGAGCACATTAAAATATCCAACTCCAGAGGAGTAAAAAATGCAGACTTTTTCTTGTCGCTTGTTGCCATGGTGAATCGTGGTATTGGGGCTCCATTGATGACAGCTTTTTAAAGTCGTCGTGCACGTGCTTATCTCAGAGTGAACAAACTCTGTGTTGATTGAACTGATTGAAATTACCTGTTCTGAAACCCGTAACCCAGAGTGTCCCATCTCAGAGTTACTCAACTCAGAGTTCAGGGTTAGGCTCAGAGTTTGCTGAACCTCCTTTCTGAAACGGACCCCTGGACAGACAAACACTGGCTTTAGATGAGGTCACTGCTTTTTGTGTTGACTACCGTAGTTCTCCTACACGGTTGGCACATGGGAGAAGTGTCAGTTTTGCAACCATATCACCAGATGCCACTAAATCCTACACACTAGACCTTTAAGTCTAACTTTAAAAAAACAAAAGACCCTCTCCAGGTTTTTTATTTTTTTGTTAGAGCCTCTATTCCCCTTGCAAACAATTACAACACTCTCCCTTCCTAATTTCTCAACTCAACCCTGAAGTCAAGTTTAATACAGTACAGGCCAAAAGTTTGGACACACCTTCTCATTCAATGCGTTTTCTTTATTTTCATGACTATTTACATTGTAGATTCTCACTGAAGGCATCAAAACTATGAATGAACACATGTGGAGTTATGTACTTAACAAAAAAAGGTGAAATAACTGAAAACATGTTTTATATTCTAGTTTCTTCAAAATAGCCACCCTTTGCTCTGATTACTGCTTTGCACACTCTTGGCATTCTCTTGATGAGCTTCAAGAGGTAGTCACCTGAAATGGTTTTCCAACAGTCTTGAAGGAGTTCCCAGAGGTATTTAGCACTTGTTGGCCCCTTTGCCTTCACTCTGCGGTCCAGCTCACCCCAAACCATCTTGATTGGGTTCAGGTCCGGTGACTGTGGAGGCCAGGTCATCTGCTGCAGCACTCCATCACTCTCCTTCTTGGTCAAATAGCCCTTACACAGCCTGGAGGTGTGTTTGGGGTCATTGTCCTGTTGAAAAATAAATGATCGTCCAACTAAACGCAAACCGGATGGGATGGCACGTCGCTGCAGGATGCTGTGGTAGCCATGCTGGTTCAGTGTGCCTTCAATTTTGAATAAATCCCCAACAGTGTCACCAGCAAAACACCCCCACACCATCACACCTCCTCCTCCATGCTTCACAGTGGGAACCAGGCATGTGGAATCCATCCGTTCACCTTTTCTGCGTCTCACAAAGACACGGCGGTTGGAACCAAAGATCTCAAATTTGGACTCATCAGACCAAAGCACAGATTTCAACTGGTCTAATGTCCATTCCTTGTGTTTCTTGGCCCAAACAAATCTCTTCTGCTTGTTGCCTCTCCTTAGCAGTGGTTTCCTAGCAGCTATTTGACCATGAAGGCCTGATTGGCGCAGTCTCCTCTTAACAGTTGTTCTAGAGATGGGTCTGCTGCTAGAACTCTGTGTGGCATTCATCTGGTCTCTGATCTGAGCTGCTGTTAACTTGCGATTTCTGAGGCTGGTGACTCGGATGAACTTATCCTCAGAAGCAGAGGTGACTCTTGGTCTTCCTTTCCTGGGTCGGTCCTCATGTGTGCCAGTTTGGTTGTAGCGCTTGATGGTTTTTGCGACTCCACTTGGGGACACATTTAAAGTTTTTGCAATTTTCCGGACTGACTGACCTTCATTTCTTAAAGTAATGATGGCCACTCGTTTTTCTTTAGTTAGCTGATTGGTTCTTGCCATAATATGAATTTTAACAGTTGTCCAATAGGGCTGTCGGCTGTGTATTAACCTGACTTCTGCCCAACACAACTGATGGTCCCAACCCCATTGATAAAGCAAGAAATTCCACTAATTAACCCTGATAAGGCACACCTGTGAAGTGGAAACCATTTCAGGTGACTACCTCTTGAAGCTCATGGAGAGAATGCCAAGAGTGTGCAAAGCAGTAATCAGAGCAAAGGGTGGCTATTTTGAAGAAACTAGAATATAAAACATGTTTTCAGTTATTTCACCTTTTTTTGTTAAGTACATAACTCCACATGTGTTCATTCATAGTTTTGATGCCTTCAGTGAGAATCTACAGTGTAAATAGTCATGAAAATAAAGAAAACGCATTGAATGAGAAGGTGTGTCCAAACTTTTGGCCTGTACTGTATGTCAAAGACTCAATCAGTTTTCTGTAGCACAATTGGTAGTATGAACATAATGAATGGTGCTTTCTGTTTACTGAGCATTCCTGCTGCTCTCATTTGAATCAAGAGCTCTAAAATGAACACTTGTTACCACGGTCACTGAATTAGGGATGGGAGGCAGCTCTGTGGCTGTCGAAGGACCTCAGCATTGCAATATGTTGGCTTCACTTATGCATGATATTATGACAGGTTAACATGTGACACTATACATTTAACTTTTCTGTAGCTCTTTTAAAGTTCAGAATAAAGTGAAGGTGTGAAAATATGGCACACTGTTTATTGCCTGTTCAGATGGAACACCATGAACTAATTTTAGAGATATATGATTGCATACAGAGTCAATGGACAGTAGCCATGAGGCAAATATTTACCCATTCACCTTCATGATCCATGGCATGCATAAAAGGAAGGTTTTTAACTATTCATTCTTCAGTCCCACAAGAAAATTCTGAAATAAAAATGAAGTTGCACAGAATGTATTCTGCATTATTTACCTGCTGGAGTCGGTGTCCTTTATTTTGGCTGTTGCCTCGAAAAACACTTAAAAAACTCTTGAAGAATTAAGTACCATTGAAGAAACCCAAAGCAAGTTTGG